TCCAAGCTCTCTGATTGGCCAATGGGACAAAAGTTTCTGTGGAGACGGCTGGGCGCTGACGTCACGGGCAGAATTGTCCCATTTAGGGATCCCGGGGGCAGTGCGCATGCTGCAGGCTGCAGGTTAGAGACAGGAGGAGGTAGCAGCGGGCCGGGCGGCAGCCAGGTGGCAGAAAGGAGCACGCAGCATCCAGGTGGGGGGACGACTCCAGCAGGGTTTCCATGGAGATTTCCTCTGGGTCTAGCCTAAAAACAGCAGATCAGCTGACACCATTAGCTCAGGACCTAATTACTGCTTATTGGAGCAACAAATGAGGGAGAGGGCCAGCTGCAAAGGAAGAGTTTTATCCCCCTCCATCTTCTCCTTTCTCCCCTCTCTCCATCGCTCTTGCGTCCCGGGTGAATTCTCATTAACTTGCAAGATTCCTGCAACAACAGGCTCCACTTCTGTTGAGGCCACCTTGGCTGCCTTTATTCTTTTTTCTTTCTTTTGTATAAAAAATACAAAAATAAATCAATTGTCCTGAGTCCTCGAACCTCTGCCCAATAAATATTAGAACGGGAGAACTCATAGAACACACTGTCAAATAGAAGTCAGCGTGAACCTAATGTGTACCAGGAGGGTGAATTGGGAGATCACTTTCAATTTATTGAATCGAATATTTATCTTTAGGTTTTCTCTTTCAAATTAAAGACAAAAGACTCAGTATCTTAAATACCTAAGTATTTGGGAAAAGCAAATGTACAGAAACGTGAGTTACGCTGTTAAGTGTGGTATATTTCACGAGCACAACTCTAAAAGTTTCCCTTGTGGCATCAGAGACAGGCAATGATCGAGAGATCTAGGTTTTGTTGTATACTGGTCATGTGTCTCCTAGAAGTTTCTGGAAGGATTGTTGGTCCTGGAGTAGTCTTTCAAGAGTAAGCTATTTCTGTGGAGTTTATTTTATGTTATGATAAGTTGATTTACAATTACAGAATCATTTTCCATAGATCTTTACTCATTAAAACCTGTCTTCTAGACTCTTTTGGATAATGTCTTTCAAATATGTTTTTACTTTCATAGTAAGGCACATACTTCATTTTGGATATATATATGGATATATCTATCCTTTAAACTTTTATGAAAAAATGTACTTCATTACATACAATATACATGGATGTTTGCCATTTTTCCTCCTAAGTACTTAGCTTGGGAAAGTGTGGTCTCACCCAATATATTTATTTTATGGCCCAGCAAAGGGTGGTTAGCAACCTGTAGTTTGAAAGACATTGTTTGAGATTTAAGAACTACACTTTTCCTTGTATAGTGTTTATATTTTCCTGTGTGCTTCATTGTCCAAATAAGATTTTTTCACTGTAATTCTTTTAAGCTTATATTTTCTAGTTTTGCTAGTAACTTTAGCAACAAACAATATACATAACATCTGTTTAATAAAATACATACTGAGTGGGTAAGTTAAGGTAAAGAAGGAAAGAGAAAGATGAGAACAAAGGGAAAAGCAAGCAGATATAATCCTGCTCCATCCCTGCTGATTTCTGCTGGGTGGTGTCCAGATGAAGTCGGTCTCCACTGAAGGAAATGCTAGGGACTTACACTTACCACATGTACATGTGTGCTATGTTCATAACTATACTTGACACCCAGATATATGGAAATTAGAACAACCTCCACATAAAGAGCTGACAAAATGCAAACAAACATAGTACAGCCCTCATTTATATTAACTAGACTTGATAGTGAAACCAAAGACCCCACATAAAATAAAACAGATCATACAAAATGTATTCTTCTGAGGAGGAACAGATAAATGACTAACCATTAAAAGAGTACTCAGATTGGAGTAAACAAATAGGGAAGCCTAAGGATTGGGAGGAGCAATCTTCTCAAATCCCTAAGGATTCTCTTGTGTTCAGTGGAACCCGAAGTGGGTCTGCTCTGTATCTGTACACATGGTTGACTGTGTGGCTCAGCAGACACTTTTTACCATGTTTTGCATACCCCAGAGCATAAGAACCCTGCTAAAGTTTCTGACAAAAATCTTAAACCTTCTGGGAAATTACTCTGCACTCAGTTCATTCCTTTCAATTTCTCTAGTTTGGCCTTTCCAATACACCTTGGGGCTCATCCTGAGACTTTGCTTCAGCTGTATAATTTCTGTACACAGGTGCCTGAAATTTAACTTAGCATATTCTTCAGAATCACCTCTGTATAGGGCGCATCTCTTCAAAAAGTGGTTCTTTACACCTTTTCTAGCCTTAACCTAAGCCCATATTCTTGCCTGCTTTGCCAGGAGAGGGAGAAAACAGAGGAAGAGGAAGATAACAATTTTATATTGAAAATTATACTTTAAAACATCTAAAATTATACTTTAAAACATATAAAATGTAATCAACATGTTTTTGTTATGAAAGTTAATTTTCTTTCAACTTAATTTTCAATTTATATATTATGGAAACTTAAACTTTAATATCAGCCACACATTTCCACGCCACACCAGACTCATTAACAACATGTGACTGCAAACAATATAGAATCTGTAATCATAAAATTAGTTCCAAAGATATAGAAGTCTTCAGTGATCCACCCATCAATCATGGTTTCATTCAGGAAATTTTTATTTCATGCCAATTACTCAATAGGACTTAGGGTTAAAGTGGTCGGTGAGATGGAAATAGTTCCCATCTCATAGAACTCAAATGTTTATGAGGACATCAGACAATAAACAAGAAATGCATGATTAGACTTCAAAGTTATCTTGGAGGGGGCATTGTAAGAGAAAACAATGATGGGAGAAGGGACTTTGTGAGTGTAGGAAAGACCTTCTTCAGTAGCTAACAATGTCTTCAGAACAGAAGGATGTAAAGGACTCAACCATATGAAGACTGAGGAAGGGGACCTGTAGGCAAACGATGGAGCCCTTAATGCAAAAGCGTTCTTGGCCTGTTTGAGAAGCCAGTGAAACTGGAACTTCTTGAGCTTGAAAAATAGAAGTCAAATATGAGATCTAGGTACCCTTTGACAGCCGGATCTTAAGAGGCAGTGTTTGCCAGGATAAGGAGTTTGTGTTTTATTATTGGCCCAGGAGAAAACCAATCAAATACTTAAAGGAGAATTCCAGGATATCCATTTTACAAGTTTCACTGGCCATTTTCAGGAGAAAGGATTGGAAGCCAGCAAACATGGAAGCAGAAACACCAGATAAGACACTGAAGTGTGTTGTAACCATTTAGGTGAAATA